AGAACAGCCCAGATTTTATCATCAACAAAGTGCAGTGTGCAATGGTAACAACCCTTATGGTTTAGTGGTATTAACCATGATAATAGCAGCAGCAAAAGACACTCTATGTCTCTTGGTCTTCACTGCAGGCACTTACATGAGTTTTCCTAGTTTATTTGTCAAACTAGTCAAGTGTGGCAAAACCCTTGACACCCTTTTTATGTTGTAGTTCTGAGAGAAAAGGTTTAATGGAGTTTCATTTAAAGATACTGCTAGGCAACAAATATAAAACAATATTTTTTCAGTATTTGTTAAGGGTACTGAAGGTGATGTCAATATTTGAAGTATTGAAAAGATCCATATGTAAAAGTTTTTGGGGAATTGTGAGATGATATGATAAATTAAAGTGAATGCAGAACTTACTTTGACACTTTTACGCCAAACACCGCTGTCAAACCCTTCTTGCTACTATTTTCTCACTCAAAACTCCTTTAAAAATATTTGTGGTGTTAATTGTTTTGAAATAACTTTTGGATTATATAAAAAAAAACCTTGACAGTAAAATCTGAAAGTCCAGGGCAGCACATTGACACACATCCTTACCTTTGAAAGGGCAAATCATCCTCCTTCTGCTCCTGTAAGCCCTCTAGAACATACCGATAAGCCTCAAAGTAGGCAGTGGTCTCGACCATCAGAAACACTCGATCTTTCTGTGATTTTAAAAAAACACATTTTGTTCTTTGTATTTCTGTTTCAAATGACCACAGATATTTCTTACATTTATGCAAAGAAACTGAATGCATCATGCCCATTTTAACATATGGTGCAAACAATGTATTACTCTACCTCAATTCTTGCCAGCTTTAACCTGCTCTCCTCTGTAAATGTAATCTGGACCTGTCCTTCCTGCAGATGTTCAGGGTCTCGATCTGACACTGTGGCAAACAGGAAGCTCTCGAAGTTATCACTTGACAGGCATACCAGGGAGCCATAAAGCAATCTCTTGGAGTTCTGCCAGCGTACAAACTGTGGGTAAAATGGACAACCTGTTAGTAACATACATGTTTATATATGTCTTTACATTTGCCATTTAAATAGTGAATGACCAGTGTATGTATTAACACATCAGTGACACAGAATATACTTTACTGCATCATTCAAATGCCATTTTACAAAGACATCAACAACCAGAAGCTAACCTTAAGTGGCTGTGCGTCAAACTGGACAATGTAGGCAATGCCAGTGTGTGTGCATTTGGGCACCACTAGCTGTGTGTCAAAATATATTCTGATATCATCAAAGCGCTTTGTCTTTAGTGGGCTGTTGGTCCTTCCGATATCTTTTTGGTTCTGGAGCAATTGCTGAATCCCCTCACGCAGTGGTCGCACAAAGTCCTCTCTGAGCAGCCGGAAGTGTGTATCAAGGTAGAGGTGGGTGTTTGTGTAGCTCTGGGAGGTAATGTTAGGTCTAAGGAAAGGCCTATGCTCCTGTCGGAACTCCTGTGGAGTTGGGTAGATTGGTATGGTCCTGAAATCCTGTTGATCTTCTTCATCTAGGTTAGAAATGTGGAAGTATTAATAACTGTCCGATCTATACTAACATTTCAAAACCTTACAAAAAGATTTTTCTTCTGGCCAACTGCATGGTATTTGCTTCAGGACAGTCAATCCAAATATGTGAAAACAAAGTGATTCAGTAGAAATATCTCCAAGAGCCAGTTACCTGGGTTACCACCACCAGAGGGCAGGAATGCATATGTGTCTCTGTCTGAGCGCAGGGTACCCTCTCTTGCTCTATTCTGGAGGTGTGTGATCAGCTCCTGAAGTTGCTCCACACTTTCCTCAATTTGAGGCTGAAAGTCCACACCTGATGCCCTCAGGCTGTTAATGGAGGCTTGGAGCAGTGTCAGTAACAAACTCACTGTATGAACCGAACTAGCAGGGAAGATGTTAAGCACCTAATAAACATAACAAGGAAAAAAGAATTTAGCTACTTTAAAACTGTTAATAAAAAGCACAGGAAATAAAAACAAAAATGCCTAAATAAGGTTTGTTTACATCTATGTAATCTGATTTTCTCAATAACTGTATCTTTCATTATGCCTTTTTCTCTTTGCACACAGGAAAAATAAAAATAAATGTGATTTATATATTACACTATCATTCCCACTGCACTGTATGTACATATAAAAAAATCTCACTGGTCTGTATTTTAGTGTATGAAGTACATTACAGTATACACACTGTTTGTACATAGTAAAATTACCCTTGTACTTTATTGCTTCATCTATTGAGCAATGTCCTCATATGTTTTTCAGATATAAAATCAATTATCCTTCAGCTGAATTTCCTATGTTTTGTCAAGTTTTCTATGTTTCATCAGTTTATTTACCTGTGAGAGAATCACCAGGATATTTTCCAGATGCTGTGGGTATTGTGCTCTGCGAGCAGGTTTGCTATCTGACACCATCCCCACAAGATAGTGGGGTAGAGAGGTGCAGAAGAACCCTGAATCTTTTATAATGCCAGCCAGGTGCTGCTGAGTGCCTCTGTCTGTCCTTGATTTAAAGGCTTTACTCAGCACCAAGCAAATGAGTTCGATAAGATCCTGCCTTATTTTGGTCTCACTGAGGAGATCTTTCACAGAAGGATGTGAGGACATGGTAATGGCCACTACAGATGGGTCTTTTAGAGAGAGTTCTTCCAGCGCTTTAAAGCCCAGTCCTCGGCCCTGTGGTGGCCTAGCTGTGCTGGCAGAATTTGATCTCCTTCCATTTCTATCTTGCCTGTCTCCCTCAACATCTCTTCTTTCACCCCTCCAACCTTCTCTTCTGTCTCCACGTTCTTCTCTCCCTGCCATCCCTATTCTCGCTCCTTGTCTAACAACTGGACCTGCTTCTGGGTTTCTTCCTACTTCTGATCTCCATCTCGCTGCACCTTCCCATTCATTTCTATCTCTTCCAGCACCTCTTTGTCTGCCTCCCCTTTCTGTATTGCGGCCCACCTCTGTTGCTCCTCTTCTTCTACCTCTCTCTGCACCTCCTCTTGCTCCACCACCTCTTCCCCTTCCTCTCCCACGCAGCTCTTCACTATCTCTTTTCCTTTCCTCCCTTTCACCTTGACTACTCCCATGACTTTGTGCTCTTTTTCTGTCTCCTTGTGCTCCCCTTTGTCTTCTCCTTCCACCTCGACGAGCATTCTCACTTTGGACAGTATCAGTATCTAGGGGAAAAATAACATTTATGTAATGAGACTAAAGTAACTAATTTTAGTTGCCAGATTTTCTCAGTTTGTTATGTGACTGCCATCACATACTGTATAATTACCATTATTAGGTCCGCTTCTCCCAGTCATTAACATCAAGCTTTCCATGGTTGTGCATGTGGTAGATGATGAAGTTAAGACCAGTAACACTGATGATTTAATAGTGAGAGGAAGGAGAAGAACTACATTTAAACACAATGCAACAATACAATGATTTAGAAATTTTGCCACGAGTCTATTAAAATAGAAAACACAACACAGCACTGATTGAGGAACAGTGATTACTTTCACTCTCTATCACTGGGTCATAACTTGTAGTGAGTCAGCCTCAGATAGAAAGGATGTTCTCATTGATTACATCAGTAAAATCTGGGGGAATCAAAGCTAATAGAGTTCATGGATGAATGGATATGTGTGTGTGTGTGTGTGTGTGTGTGTGTGTGTGTGCAACACGCGCGCGCGTGTTTTGCGACTATATTTCAATGTCCATCGTTGTAGGTTTGTTGGTGTGCGCTATAAACGAAACGTGCTATATTTGTTTTATTCTAATGTTGTCCATTGCACTGTATTCGTATGAAATGCAAATTCTTCCCTCTGCAGGATATTGCCCGACAGGTTTCCTTTTTCAAGAAATGATTCAGAGGTTTACACCGCAAGTCTTAGTCACGGATGTGGCAATAATAACACTCCACAGGCTGGCTGCCCTCCAAACAAGCTATACCATTCATATTGCCTTTTATGTGTCTGTCTGTCTGTCTGTCAATGACTTTACATGTCGTGTGCTATATGACTTGCAATTTTAGCTATCAGTTCGCATCACTGTTCTCAGTGTACACGCTATTATTATTTACTAAATAAGAAAATACAATAAGACAAATAACTCTGTATCCTAAACACTTCCTAGATAAGCGATAGCCTAAGAAAAGAGCGAACTTACCAAGCGTGACATCCGACCAACATGAATATTTTCCTGGTCAAACTTTGTCTAGCCGTCTCTCATTCGGTCTGTGCGCAAGCTCATCGCAGCCTCTTCTCCGGCTGTCGACTTCAGCAACCTGCTATTTAAGTGCTTTGTCATTTTCGTTTTCGTTTCTCCAGAACTAACACCCCACCTAGAAGACAGAATGGATTTGTCCTTTTATCCTTGACTAAAGATAGAGCGAGCATTAAATTAATTGAAAAGCATGACTATCTAGGACCACGTAAAATTTAGGTTTATTTTAATGTGATATTGGACACACATGTTATTATTTTTAAATAAATGAAACAGGAAGCACTGTATTGCATAACTATGGAAGTCTAGCCTAGTTAACAGTAATAACATCCTAAGTAATAAGTAGCTAGAATAGACTGCGGGTTTTTATAGCGTTGTATTTTTTTCATCTTTGATCACATTTAATTCTTATATTTGTTATAAACGCATCCCATTCCAAATTAGGCCTGCTTAAGTTTATCATTTACTTAAAAAAAGATTTTAGACAGCACCACAATCTCTCAGAATTGTTTATAATTTTTATTATTATCATTATAAATTGGTTGTTAAGTCATAATTTTATATCAAGGAAAATACTGTTCCACACAGTTTGCAGACAGTTCTAGTTTATGTATTATATAAACCCGGTAGATAAGTATTGCCTGATGTTTTTTTTTTTTTTTTTGGTAGTGTTTTCCTGTTTCTAAAGTTTCGTTTCTTTACAGTAAAAATTGGGTCGACCCTACCCCTCCTCCTCCTCTTCCTGCTTTTCTTTCCTGCTACGTCATCACTCCGTATGAGCGGCTAGGCTAACTGTATCAGCTGTATACTTGGTTGCTTCCGCCAATGTAAACATGTAGCCGGTTTTTCGATTTAATCCAAGTGCTGGTAGGCGGTTGTTAACCTGTTTGTCAGTGGTCCCAGCAATGATGGCTGTGTTCCTAAAAATAGCCGCTATGGAACCAGGGCAGTGTAGCGCGAGCTTAGTAAATAGCTAACACTGAATAGCTAGTTATCTACCAGGCCGTGTTTTCATGGGGCTAGCATTGGTAATTAAACAGTTTTCATTGACAGCCACGCAAGGCTAAAACGGAGTTAGCAAAAACTAGGGAGAATGGAAAGTAGTGCTATCTAACGAGGACGCATCAAGACGTACAGACACCATGAAGAAGTCTAGAAATGTTGGAACATCGTCGCCAGTGAATGGAAAGCAAGGTAACGGTCGCTAACTGTGTCATGTCAACTGTTTGAGTACACTTCGGGGCGCTTTGCTAACAAATAAATAAACAAATGTGGGAGCATAGCTTCTAACAGTGAAACGATGTTGTCTGTTCCAGACTGGGACACCAGACGGAAGAGGAAAATAGCGGATATCACACAGGCACTGAGTGTGAGTCCAGTGGACGTAGCAGCTCTGAGGAGGATGGCTATCAGTGAAGGAGGACTGCTGACCGATGAGATACGGTGCCAGGTCTGGCCTAAGCTCCTCAACGTCCCCCTTGATGTCTTGAATCAAGAGCCAGGTATTATAATTGTTGACGATATGCAGTTGCGCGTCTCGCACCTCCTAATACAAAGGCTAGCAGTCAATGCATCATACAGTAATTGCTGGTGGCAACATTTTCATTTTTTCAGACACTGTAGACCGAGAAAATAACAAAGACTACAACCAGGTGTTGCTGGATGTCCAGCGTTCACTACGGAGGTTCCCACCTGGTGAGTGACCAATCCATGGCCAATTGTGTCTACATACACACACTGTAGACATGATATAGAGTGACTGTGTCATCATTTCTAATACAACTATAAATTCCTCCAGTTTCTTAACTGCTTTCCCAATTCATGGCTTGGGGGGGCTGAAGCATATCCCAGATGTTATGGGAAAACTGAACTGGGTTGGCAAATTCTACTTGCAAATCTTGTATATTTTTAACCTTTGTCTCTGTAAAGCACTTTGAATCACCTTGTTGTTGAATTGTGCTATACAAATAAACTTGCCTTGCCTTGCCTTGCCTTTGCTGACATGGGCACAGGGTCACCATCGTTCTTTATATATTATTGGCCTTGTAGTGGGTCATGGTATAATTGGCTAGAAGTTTTGTTGAGAAATGTTTTAATGTTTTGCCCATACATTGTTGACAAAACACTGTTTCTTCCATTGTAACCTTTTAAATTCGGTAGTTATCCACCTGAAAAATAATCTGCATTTAATATTGTAATTATCAATGCAATATGAAAATGGCGTTGCTGCTACTAGCTGATATAGTGGCCTTTGCTGGTAGCCACTTGGCTTCGTTGCAGCTATATCTATTGCTCTCCACTGCAGGAATCTGTCGTGGTATTTTCTGTAAAAAAGAATGTCTGCAACATGGTCAGAGCTGTGGTCAAGCTATTTTATTACTGCATGAAGGAGAGCCAACACACATCACAGTTCAGTCATTCCAGCTCTGACCTTGGGACATCTCAGCTCCTCTTTTATACCCTCACACACAACTCTGTGTATCTTTTAGTTACAGCAGGTTTCTGTCCCACGGGATGTTACTGGGGAGAGGGCAACTCCCACTATCTTTTCCCAGGAAGCTCCTGGCACTGGTCAGCTAGGGAGTTTCGTCCTTCTACACCCCAACAGTTAGCAGATAACATAGTGAAACATTGTTAAGCAAAGCAAAGCAGTTTTTCACCATGTCATCCTGACACATATACTTCGGCTAAGCCTACAAAGGCTATACAAAAATCATACAGTGAAATTCTAACCACCTACATCTAAATGTAATAATAATAATAATGGATTGCATTTATATAGCGCTTTTCTGGGCATCCAAACCGCTTTACAATTCCACTATTCATTCACTCTCATTCACACACTGGTGGAGGCAAGCTACAGTTGTAGCCACAGCTGCCCTGGGGCAGACTGACAGAAGCGAGGCTGCCATATCGCGCCATCACCCCTCTGGTCATCACCAGTAGGCGGTAGGTGAAGTGTCTTGCCCAAGGACACAACGACCGAGACTGTCCGAGCCAGGGCTCGAACCGGCAACCTTCTGATTACAAGACGAACTGCCAACTCTTGAGCCACGATCGCCCCAATAAATGTGAGGGTTAACTAGATTTTTCCCATTACAAATCCAATTCTCAAACCAAGACAATTGAGAATTCATAGGATATACTCAAACGACATGCACTGAAATTGCTTTTCCATCTTTTTCAGCTAAATAAACTTTAGTTGAAAGAGCTACTATGGTGGTTAGCCTAACTCCAAATTTGAATTACATAGTTATTATTTTTTTAGTTGTGGAGACATTTTGAATGCCAATGTAAGCTAACAGCTGTATTTTATTTGAAAAATGCTGAACGGGCTGGTCTATTTAATTTTGAGCACTCAATGCACTTTCGATTCATATAGCGCTATTTTGGCTATGCATGCATAGGTATGCCAGATGAGCAGAGAGAGGGTCTCCAGGAAGAGTTAATCGACATCATCCTCAGAGTTCTGCAACGTAATCCCCAGCTGCACTACTACCAAGGATACCATGACATTGTCGTGACCTTTTTATTAGTTGTGGGAGAGCGTCTTGCAACTGCTCTAGTGGAGAAGCTCTCCACACATCACCTCAGGTACTTATCACAGACACAAATGAATCTACAGCAGGTTATTTTCTCTGCTACTTAATCTTCCACTTTTTTTTTTTGTATGCACAGTCTGTCCTTATTGCTTTATGCTTCAATAAAAATCATACTGTGAGGTATTAAAAAAATGCTGTCTGTCTTATTCTCTTTCTCAGGGACTTCATGGATCCCACTATGGACAACACAAAACACATTCTTAACTATCTGATGCCCATCATTGAAAGGGTCAACCCTGAGGTGCATGACTTCATGCAACAGTAAGATTCACTCCTATTCTAGTGAAAGTAGGCCAAATGGGTTTTGTTCTGCATTAGGATACAAGAGGATGTTAAACCTTGCATTTTTATTTTTTAGTGTGTTAAATGACAAGCCTGAGATTGCATACCCAACTTTTAATATTAGCTTCTTAAATTTACAGTAAAGAATTGTGCATGCAATAGTAATTTTTTTCCTTTAGACAGAAAATCTTTTAGCGTCTGTTGTAATGACAGTACATCATCATACTAATGATGATCATTAGTATGACCCTTTACTACTTTGGCATATCTACAGCGGTGTCTCCTTTAAACAGCTAAGGTTAATGTTAAAACAGGTACAACTATAAAATGAAAGCTGTTTTAGGTGAAGGAATGAAGGGTGACTGCTCTTACATCACACTGATCCAATTATGATAGCTCAAGTTTCAGTTGTAAGGCATCCACGTCATTAAGGCTGCAACCAAAGGTTACCATTACAGCTGGCCTTCATGTTTGATTTTCAGTTCCTGATTATATCATAAATATATAAAGTATATAAAGTTGTAGAAATTTCTGGTTGTAGGTGCTATATAGAGTACTTTAAGTGGAGCAGTTGGCAAACTAAATAGTTGTGTGTGTCATTGTAAGCTGATCTCATCACTTGTCATTTTAAGGGCTGAGGTGGGTACAGTCTTTGCTCTCAGTTGGCTCATCACATGGTTTGGCCATGTCCTATCAGACTTCCGCCATGTTGTCCGGTTGTATGACTTCTTCCTGGCCTGCCATCCATTGATGCCCATCTATTTTGCTGCTGTGGTGAGTTTCCTGTTTCCTGGTTTGTCTCTCAGAGACACTCCCCAAACATCAAGTTACTTTAACACTACATGAATTACATATTCTAAATCAGTGTAAGAATAAACCATTTATATAATCTCCATTTGTGCATATGGAAAGCTCATATTTTTTCACTGTGCAAAGGCCATTGTGACAGCTGAAGATATGGATAATGTTGTATTCATGAGGGTTGTGGAAACCAATTTGGTAATGGTTGAGCATTTATTGACATTATATGTGGCTAATCAATCAATCCCTTTATTAGTATTATTATTATTAGATCAATGCAGTGATGTCAGATCAGTTCTTCTTTTTAAGTTGCCCCTATTTAGTTTAATTTAGTCGGGTGTGTTATTTTAAATGATTACATCTCTAATGGGAATGGCTTCTTATTTCTGTATGAATGTATCATTGTTTTCCTTGACAAATATGCTGTTTACATCTCTATGTTTATATTGGTATGCAAATTGTATTTATGTTGTAGATCGTGCTGTACAGAGAGGAGGAGGTATTGGAGTGTGAATGTGATATGGCCATGGTTCATCACCTGCTATCCCAGATTCCCCAGGATCTACCCTATGAGACGCTCATCAGCCGAGCAGGAGACCTCTTTGTACAGTTTCCCCCCTCTGAATTGGCTAGAGAGGCTGCTTCACATGAAAGGTAAGTTCTTATAGTTATTTTAGTTGTATGAAACTGTCATCACTGATTTTTCTTATATACTAATACTCACATTTTAGTTTCTTCTACTTCAAAAACTGCAGTTACTCACTTTCAATAAAACCTTTTTCTGTCTCTCTACATGTATCTGTCTCTTTAAGCATGGCAAGCTCTACCTTTAAGGACTTTGAACTTGCATCTGCGCAGCAACGACCAGACTCAGTTCTCCGTCGCAGACGCAGACAAAAGCAGGCTGCACTGGAGAGCTCAGGAGTGAGCTCTGTAGTTGCAGTGGCCCAACCTTCAGCAGCACGGCGGTTTGTTCGACTTGCAGTCATGGGTCTCACAGTGGCTTTAGGGGCAGCAGCTCTTGCTGTGGTCAATACTGCTCTTGAGTGGGCCCCCAAGCTAGACTTATTTCCTTGAACTGCTTTTCTTTTACACCAACACTCCATGTATTCTGTCCTCTACTAAATCAAGCTGGTGGGTCTGCTATCAAGAACCCTTTAATGGTTTAAACCACAAACCGCGGAGTCGGCAACACTGTCTGGGTGCACTCTCTAAAGTCGAGGATGTCTTTCTACTCTGTGTAGGGTTTGTCAAGCCTTTTTGCTTTGTAATTCCTGAATAGGCACCAGTGTAAATGCTGCTGTTGTTCTGAATTGAAGAATATAATGAAGAGACTATGTATAAGAACCATTATTGATGGTCATCACGAAAGCTTATTTATATTTAGTATTAAAATAATTTGAAGGCATTATCCTCACAGGGATTTGCAGAAAACTTGGCAGACTCACTACATTTGAAACTGCTGCCAATTACGAGCGCCTGAGTGAATGTGTGTGTTTGTGTGTGTAGTTGAGTGTGTGCGCAGTCACAAACCATTTGTAATCTATTTGATACCTGGACCAAATAGGGAATTCCTGAATTCTCGCTTTGTAAAATTTACTGTTTGTTAATTTTAAGGTAAGTAACTGTATAGAAACATGACACGCAGGCACTTTAAGGGTCACCATTTCATTATTTTTAGATCATTTTGTGTATTTCATTAGTTATGTTTAACCCTTTCAGTAAGCGTATAAAGGTATCTTCTCTAAAGGACCGAGTATCTTTAACACATCAGCAGCTGTTACCCATGACTTGGTTAAATGAAACTGGTCTTACAAAAGTAAATACATTGTAGCTTACTTGAAGTTTTTGTTTGCCTAAACATATATTTGAGAATATGCCCTCGCAATACAATATAGCTTTCATCGCCCAGGAAAATAGTATAAGAGTAGCTAAGTGATAACTTTTAAGTTATTTAATGCTTGCACACACACACACACCTGAAAATGAGTTTGTGTTTTGTGTACCCAAATAACTAGTTTATGTAAAAAAAAAAAAAAATTCTAGAGAAGATGGTCATATCCTAATAGTTCCCACAATATGGTCATTCACCAAATGCCTAGTAACCGTAAATATCAGAGGTGGAATAAGTAAAATTAAGTTGATATTGTTGTCTTCTTATTAGCAGTATAGCAGACCTGGCTTGTACTGACTGCATTAGTTTTGTAAAATCACTTTGATTTGATAGTTGCTTTTACTCAGTTTGTTTGGAAGGGTGCTCCTTTTAGAGAAGTGCCTGGGCCTTCATATTAATTCTGTCTAATATTTTAGATTTATACGTGATTTTTTTTTTGCTTGATTTGAGCAGATGCTCCTTGGTAAAGTGATTTGAGTGTAGAATTGGTCCACGGTACCAGATTGTTCCAGTCATTGACATTAAAATCACATCCTTAAATAAGAGATTTCATTTTAATAGGGTTTCGTTTATTGTCAGTCATTTGAAAACCCACAGTTCTTGTTTCAAATATCAGCCTTGAGTTCTTGCCCCCTACCGGGACACAGAACTGGTAGTCCTCTAAAAACTTCTTAATTGGGTGAAACTCATCAAAGTGATTTTATTTGATGCTTTTTTTCTATGTGAAGCTGAAGGCTTGATGCTCCAGTGCTGTGCTGTGTTTGATTGGTTTATTGGCCTTGTATTGAGCCTCTCATTCAGCTGGTAAGGGATCTGCAAGCTGACTGAAATGAAGGTGACTGGCACATGTCCAAGGATGCTCTTATGCTCCTAAGAGCTTAGTTGTTGAGCATTGTAATGCAGGACGTATCTGCACTCAGCGGTGTTCATTTATTTTCATTGCACTAAATGATTTATCTGCCTTTTATGTTTATTTTTGTTACTATTGGACTGTCTACTAATGTAAAGTTGTACAAGAGAATGCTAATAAACTAGAGTGAAAAGGTTTTATGCATTTGGATTCAGGCTTACGTTTTTATTCAGAATATTTTCTATGACTATATAGTGTGTTTTTCAGGATTTCTCAAATTCAGGTTTTAGCTGCCCTCTGACGGCTTCTGCTAGACCACATTAGCCTCAATTGTCCTTTGTGACTTCAGTTCCTTAGGCTTCTTAACATATTTAGATTAGTGCTATGGTTCTAATAAGAAATAATAATTAAGGATACAGAAGATGACAAAGTTGAACATCGTCAGATGCTTGAGCTGATCTTAAGCTCATTTTTAAAATCTGTTTAGATATACAGTTACATCATAATGTCCATATTTAAAATACATGGTGCTTCATGACTCAAGACATAGAATGTAAAGCCTAACAACAAGCTTTAATGCAACATCACATATAATTTATGTGTAGTAATTTAGTTCCTGTAATTCTTTAGGAATTAATACAGGAATTAGTTGCAGAGAAAGACATTATACACATGATACTTTATAGCCATTAAGTGCATTAGAGCAATCTGTTTTTCATTATGAGTACATTCATTCAATGTAAACAAAAAGAAAAGTCTGATTTGTCGACTGAACAATCCCATAACCAGCCATTTATTTTAATAACATATCAAACAAAAACAGTAACTTTAAACAGAAAGTGCTGACCATTTATATTGGTAAGACCTTAATAGTACTTATAACCACAACTGCCCTGGTGTTTGATAGATAAAATTCTTAGTTGTAAAATAAATTAATGAAAAATATTGCTATTTATCATCAGACTTTATAGACAAAATAAACAAGAAAGCCCTTATCATGCCCCGTCATCTTTGGAGTGCTAATATTATATACTGTATAAGCACAAAGACCTTTTGCATCTTTGTTCAGAAAAGTAAAATGTTACCTCAGTATGCGTGTTCTGATAAATTCTGAGTCGAATCCAAACTCAAGTAAATAGTATCACAATTGGCTCATTGAACTAGAAGAAAGCAATAGCTAGAGATAAGAAGGTATTGTGGCAAAAAAACTCCAAGTATAACTGTTTTCCCCCTCACACTGTACTAACAACAGTTTTTAATACACCTGGATGCATTGCAAGCAAGATAGATGATGAGTTTTGTCCATATACCAGTGAAAGAGAGGGTGAAATAAATCAAACTACCATTAAATCGGAGATCTGAGCACGAGATGTGGTTTGAATTTATCCAGACAGTGTAATCGCTTTCACTGGAGGTTCTAATATGAGTTCATTAGTGTTCTTCCCTCAGTGACAGTTTTGGCAGTTAGGATGACAGGGCTGATTATTGACTCGACATCTACATCCACCAGTTATGTCACCGCTGCCCTGTAAAAAAGAAAAGAAAGAAATGAGAACCATGTCTCAGACACACAATAGAGAAACCTTTCTGAATATGTTTATCTATCTTAATGCATATATATTTACATTTGGGCCCCATCGAGCTTGTTTAGTGACCCAACAGATTTCTGTTTTGCACATCAAGCAGCAGATCCAGTCACATCCATCTTTTTTCTGGACAATGATGTCACACCGTGGGCATTTCATGGCTTCCCCATTCTGCAGCAGGCTCTGTAGTTGAATACAGTGAAACAGTGTGAAGTAGCCATAGAGGAAAATGCCTGAGAGGGTGATTTTAAAAAGTACAGAAAAACATCAACATAATACAATTTATCCACTTGACTCAAAATCTGAATATAATATGATCTAACTTTGCTGGATTCCATAAAGTAAAGCCCCGTATCAATCCAATGCCTAAATCCTTGCCATAGCCTGCATATAAAAGATGGACCTAGCCACTGCATGCAACTAAACAGAACAGATACATTTACAGCATGTGTTGAATACCACAAGGTTATTAGACAGAAGGTGTTAAGAGCGCAACAGATCACCACAGCCCTTGTTTCCGCCACAGAGAAACAAAGGCTTCCCAAAGCTTGCTTCACCCTTAATAACGACACTAGTCTAAGATACACCTGAGGATTTGGAAACTGCCTCCTTAAGCAGCCATTAATGAAAGAACATTTAATTGTAAAAAAAAAAAAGACTGATTGTTCTATGATTTATTTTACAGGGTTAAGATTCTACAAAATTGCCTATTTGGTTTATTTCACTCTGGATAAGAGAAAAATTATAGTCCTTGATAAGAGACAATGTATTATTTTGTTTGTAATGTCATTTGTGTTCTGCTTCTTGATCCACATTGCTTTGCTTTGCCAGCATTCATAGATTTTCACTGTTCAGGGTAATTAACAAAGCCCTTTAAAGTTGACTTACCTCCAGCATCTGTTTAGTTTTCTGAGCTGCTTCATCATTCTCTGCTCTTACACGCAGGTCATCCTGGTAGTCCTTGCAATTCATGTCTTTGTGGATGGCCTGAAAAATATACGTCCTTTACATCTGGCGCCCTCTCTATTACACGAAATGAAACTTTGTTCAGTTAAGGTATTAACGTAACAAAGGTACCCTGCAGAGAATGCAGTTGGTTTCGTCGCAGAGTTCACAGTGAAATTCATTGACTTCATCCTCATAGATGCACCACCCACGACAGTTGGGAGTCTGACAGTGGAAGCTGTGCTCTGAGCGGCTCTCTGCAATGCTCAGACGCAACTCCAGAAACCGCTGGTGTTCCTCTTCCGTGAGCAGCTGGACCCAGGATTATACCATAAACAATAACAGAGACATATGAAGAGTAAGAGATTACATACTGTGTGGCTGTCAACATATTTGCTTCTCTTAAAGTTATTGTCTGTGTTATTTTTTGGGAAAGGTGATGTATGACTGTCAAACATAGACCATGTGAAGGTTAAGGTTGTGTCCCCGTGGCTTACACTCACCTCTTTGATCTCTCGGTCCAGTAATTTGCTGTCACAGTTGTCAGGACAGGACACCTCAGCATCTTGACTGTTTACTATTGTCCCTTTTAGACACTCCCTGAGTAATCACATACACGTCATTATATACATAAAATATTAAGCACAATGCACATTTTGCATACACTGACTCTTATTATTCAAAACGAGCATACATATGAAACACTGCATATGCATAAAGTTGATATACACAAAAGAAATGACACATGTAGTTAAAATTATAGGAGAAGAAGGTGTTTCGGGTCTAAAACAAGACTTGCACCAAGACATGGTTCAAAAAGATGCTTGAGGGGTACAGAATAAATTAACTAAAGATTTAAATCCCACTGAAATGTTGTGAGTGAACCAGGCAGTACATGCAAGAAAACTCACCACTGTAGCCCATCTTGCCGAGCTGGCAGCCCATATGAGAAAGACTATTGCAGGGGCCTAGTTCTCCCCCAGACCATTTCCTGCATATTTCCCCTCTGACTCATACTACTAAAATGCCAAATCTTTTCTGTTTTGTTTTGTTTTTAAATAAAGGCTCTTTTTCAAAAGTCAGTTGTAAGTCAAGTGTGTCATGTAACTCCACTGTACAGTTAGTAGTAACAGTAGTAAATGCAATGGCTAGATTTGTACAGGCATCAAATTGATGATGACATTAGATGCACTTTGGTAAAGGACGTTATTGCGAAGGTCTAGCAGCAGGGAAGTTGGGATATGGTATGGGTGGTGTAAAGGTCAATGTTAGCTAATCAGAAAGTGACCAAGAAAGCAGACAGAATTTGATAATTTTTCTGTCATGTTACAAAGCTATTTTCTGTCATACCTGCAGAAGGTATGGAGACATTCTCTGAGCACGATGCCCTCTCCTGGCTGCAGATTACTGAAGCAAATTGGACAATCTGCCTCGTTGGCATTTGGGATAAGGTTCTGTTCTTCTGTTGCCAACAAGTGCAAATAGTTCTCTTCTCGTTCCATCCGCTGAGCCTTTATCACAGAGTAGCATGCGCAGCAGAGGTTCAGATAAACTGCATGACTCATTACAAACATAGTAATTTAGCTTTTCCCGAAGATAGAAAGTGAAAGCTGAGAAGTTTTATTGTGGCCCGAAAGTCAGCTCTCATTATTCTTTAATGGTAATGTGTGGCAAATCATCTAGGAACAATGCGTAGTTTAAAATGTGGAATTTAAACAAAAAAGTGACACAAAAACAAGATTTAATGAGTTAATTAAACTGATGGTTTTTCTCTTTCTTTCTGTCTGTTTCTTTTATAACAAATATACCGATGTTTTAATATAAACATTAAAATTTTCTTTAAAACCTGTCAAGCACAAATCTTATTTCCTATAATATTTCAGGTTTTCCCATGACCCCAGGTGATTAGGGTTATTTCACACATAAATGTGAGACCGTGTTAAAAGGATTTAATTTTAGCTGTTTTTTAACAAGCAGCACTTTTACCTGTTCGTACTGCATCATGGCAAGTGTTTCCTGCTGGATCCTCTTAATCTCCTCCTCATCTGGCTGGTAGATGTCAGGCACAGTGTATTCTGCTGGCCGTTCCCCTCCGCACATCTCACAGCCAGGACGTGTTGGCTTGTTCAGATATGTACACACTGAACAGGCCCATCCCAACTGCAAGACATACAATATGTTTACACATCTCTAAAACATGCACTACTGTATTTAAACAATTATATGTGCAGGCCCATTGCTAAAGCAGGGTCTAGTTGTGTTCTGACCTGAGGTTTAGGAGCCACAGGAGGCTTGGGTACAGTAGCAGTTTGGTCTCTAGGAGGAAGAGGAGGAGGAACTATCTTCTCACCACCACCTCCATCCAGACCTCTGGGAAACAGCTGCAGTGATTGCATCGACTCCATGATACCTAATAATATATTTTAATTGTATAAAACTTCAGTGTTATTAAACATCAATACGGCATACTTTGCTGTCTGTATTTATCATAGCCAAAGCACTTCTTCTTATCGTTCAAAAGGTAAGACAACTGTTTACTACTTACCATCTATACGTTGTTGCTCCTGGTCCAGGTTGTGCTGATGCCGTGTGAGATGAGCAGCATGGGCAGACCTGATAAACAGGAAAGCCTGGTCTCCACTATTTCGAATCCCATGGCTATATAATGTTTCC